TCTCTCTCTCTCTCTCTCTCTCTCTCTCTCTTTGCTTTTTATTCATCTGTACTTATACCTACATATTTGCAAATATATTTTTCACCGCGTTGTATTTCGGTACAATATAAATACAATTTTTAAATATAGTTTTTCCTGTCGAAGCGCACTTTTAACGCACCTACGTGTGTCGATTCTTACGATCGATTTCGCTTCTGCATGGTATCTCTTTGTCGAGGATCGATCGTTTCATTTCGTGGTATACACAGTTAAGTGATAGAATCCTCGCGACCAATCGGCATATAACTCTGTGTAGTAATAACTGAAATCCTTTCTCTTCATCTTTTCTTTGCCCTCCCCCCCCCTTTCTTCTTTTTTTCACTGTGAATCATAAATTGAAGAAACACGACGACGAAAGTATCAAACACGATTTCCTATTGTAAAATCGATGAAACACGTTGTACCCTGTCACGAAACTGCATTTTCGCAATGTCGACGTGGAAACGAAGATAGAGGGATGGTAGAGCGAAAAGACAGGCACAATGGGCCAGTTACTCCGGTTCAATTCAATCAGGAATAGCAGAATGTTTAAATAACATGTATTTACAAACTCGCAGGTTACAAGTCAAAATATATCGAACCTGTTCGTTGAAATCTTTCATAAATTTTTGCTCATACATCTCGCGATGTTGTTAACCCATCAAGGATCGAGCAGTAATTTAATCACGTTAAAAATATTAATTCGGAACTGCTTGGAACTCCACTTTACGAGTACAATGTTAAAAAAAAGAAGAGAAGATTCAACGATGAAAAATGTCTGATAAAGGATGGGAAATGAAATATTTCATCTATCAATGCCGATCCTCGATGGGTTAAATCGTCGTTGCGTGGCGTGTGTGTTTTCGACAAATAATTCTGAACCTATGAAACAATGAATTCCCATTAGACGCAGGTCCGCGACTCGAACGTCCGCTGAATAGTAAGATAATGAAGTATCGCTGGATGTATGAAATATGTAACTCACTTTCTATGCTCGTGATTGCTTCGATAACCACACGTTTCCCGCGTGATTGCGAAAGTAAAAAGGGTAAAGGGAAATAACCACGATACGAGGTTAGGCCCGTTGCTGCTGCAAAAAGGTGGCATTCTCGAAAAAGCACACGTTCGCGTGTTATCATTCAGACTGCGGATGTTCGTGCATTTTTGGAATGAAAATTTTAAAGATAGTACGTATGCTGCCCGATAAGATGAAGATTCTTCACTGTGCGACTTGCAAATGTATACGAAATAGTCCAAAGTAGAATCGTTCGTTGCAATTCTCTGGCAGGAGGGCAAAAGACTATTTGTACGAGTTCGAAAATTGCCTCGAAAGTGCGGGAAAGCAAGTTTACGTAAAATCGGATCTTTACGTAAAAAAGCTCGAAAGTCTTGTCCCACTGGTACTTGCAAGCTATGCGTCATCTTTTCTTTTTTTTTTTTTTTTTGTTTTTTCAAAATAATGACCTTATTTCGAACTTTTTGAATTTGGCCTTTACTCTGATTGCGTGCCAAAGGGCCATCGGTTGATAAATTGTCAGCTGCACTTTGTCACAAAAGTACGAGAAATGCATAAAAATTCGCAGTCTAATTGCAATTTCGCAATTCGTATTATCGACGGAGACATGCTGGGTCCGTACTTTAGCCCCGGGTGACAAGAACCATTCGCCAAACAATGCGTACGTTGTGTAGGTGTAGGTATGTTGGCGGTATGAAAGTATCGCGCGACGTTTGTTACATACTCCGCTATTCGTCCTCTTCTG